CATTAATCCTTGCTAACAGATTATTCTTCTTTTTTGAAAGGTTTCCAAAAGGTGTTAATTTTTTATTTTGTAATGGTATTTTTAAAGTTTGTGGCTGCCTAGTAAAAGCCTTGTTATCCCAACAATTTTTAACTATTGAAGCAAAATCAGGATGGCATGTCCAAAATGTTTCTAATCTAAAGGGCTTTGAGAGGAAGTAGTTAATTTTAGGGATTAATTCTAATTTAATGGGGTTGTGATCAGAGTGTGCTTTTGGTAGGTGAACTACATAAGCTTTAGGGAAAAGGTTGATCCAAGATTCATTAGTAAAGATTTTATCAAGTCTTTCCATTATGTGACTAGAATTATGTTTCTTATTATTCGACCAAGTATATTTTGGACCTTTGAAGCCTAAGTCTAAGAGCTTATAATAATTAATCTTATTCCAAATTTTAGAGGGACGTTTCCTATTAACATGATTGCCACCCAATTTTTCATTAGCATTTAAAACGTCATTAACCCCTCCCCCCAAAGCCAAGGGCCTTTATAATTATCAAAAATACCACATATATTATCCACATTAAGTTCCTAATATTGACATTAGTACTAGTACATATGGATGAAAAGAACCAAGAGTGGCGAATTGGAGGTACCTCAATTAGAGCATGAATCTCATTGTTCCTCCTAACGAAGTTGTGCACATTAACCATGATTGTGTCCCATAACACTGCCAGCCCGCCCGATTGCCCCTCAGATGGGACCTCGATCATATCAGAGAAACCAAATTCATGCATAAGACTACCATGAGTAGACATCCTAGTTTCTAGGAAAGTGACCATGCATGGGTGGTGTGTATTAATCAAAGCACGAAAATTCCTTTTAAAGTCGTCATTGTTGCCTCCCCTAATGTTCCAAATGATAATTGTTTTAGCACGATTCATGGAGTGATTTTGAGGTTGTTGGTGACCATTCATCAGGCTTCCTGCCGGGAATACTGGGTTCCTCCTCAAGCTCGGCACTGGAATTATTGCATTCTTCCCTACTGTGGGATTCTGGGGTGGACGAATGTCCATTGTGCATTTGAAGAGTGAATTTGGGCAGGCTAGAATAAGCCTCTTCTCTCGCATCTCCTCGAAGAGATAGACCTTGATTTCATCTAGGTTTGATGATTCCACCATCGACTCTCCTATTAGATCTACCTGATCTTCCATATCTCCCCCATTTGGTTTTCTACCTCTTGAGGAATTGATGGTTGTGGAGCTTGATAATCCATGTTCCCTACATTCATGGGCATTTGAGGTTGCTGGTTGAGTATAGATGGATCCCACACCATTAGAACTGGGTTCAGAGCAGTTAGCTCTTGAGGTGGGAAGAAAGGAAGGTCCAGCCCCATGTTCTGAGGTAGATAGGGGTTCTGGTTGAATGGGAGTGGAAGATTCCACTGGGCATGCATGTTTTGAAGTATGTTGTTGTTCATGCCCGAGGCTAGGGGTTGCATTATGTTGTTGGCACAAATTTGATTCATATAATTGTTCCTCGCTAAGTGTAGACCCTCGGACACTAGTTGAGCAAGAAACTGGCGATTTTGGATTAGGATTATGCTTTCTTGGCCGTTGAGATTGAGTTGAAGTGAGACTGCCCTCCCCATTAACCCCAGTTCTATCCATAATGTTGGACGGTAATCTTAGGGTAGTAGGGGTTGAGCATAGAATGGAGAAAGGTTTTTTACTTAAGGGGGAAAGGTTGTTCATATTGAGAGAACGATGATTCCTTAACACTTGTATTAGCCTGTCTCCTCCTTGGGTTGAGAGTGATTCTGGGCATTGTGAAGGGGATCGAGGATGGAGTTTAAAGGGTTTGAGGGATGAGGAGAGGGAATGATTGCTTCAATTTGCATGCAATCTGAGAGGAGTAGCGTGCTAGGTTTAATAAGAGATATTGCGTGGATTTGTTTGGGCATGTGTCTCAAGGAGTGAGACAAATGTGTGTTGCCTATATAGTTTTTGTCCCGTTGTGATTGAGCGTGTAAATTAGCTATGGTACTTTGGTCACTGGTTGGCTTAGTAGTGATATTAGGCTAATTATTAAGGGTATTATGGTAACTAGTGTCAGATTTTTTGGTGTTAGTGTGGTTAATAATTTTGTTAGGTCTAAGGGTTACTGTTATGTTGTTTTGTGAATTTTCAGGTGCATGCATTGGCTTAGTTGTTCGAGATGGGTTCATGCAAACCGGGTTAACAGTGGGAAAGTTAGTCTGATGGGTGGTATTATCCAAAACCATTTGATGATTTTCTGAGTTCAGGCTAGAGAAACGATTTACACTAGTCAAGATGTTTGTATTATTAGAAGTTCCAGAGATTAACAGATCATGGTTAGATAGAGTGAATTTTGATGAACCACTTAGAGAGTTTTTAGCAATGTATTTTAATTTTTTAGCGATCAAGTACTTACCTGTGGCATCATTGAATAATTTAACCTCAATACCTGAATCTTGGTTAGCGATGGAGTTTGCCTTGCCTTTCCTGGATTCTGCTTCTTTTTGCTTCTTGAAAAGGGTACTATATGCCAATCATCCATTTGGGTTGGGGTAGATACACTGATTTTGGGAGGATAGGGTTGGGTTTCCTTAGTATCATTTTTAGTATCCAATGTATCTGAGCAGTTTTTTGTTAGGTGTCCTAGTCAACCACAATATTTACATAGAAAATGGTCGGCTTCATAGAGAATGATTTGTTTATGGGTGCCGATGTAAATAAATTTAACAACTGGTATTCCCAGAGGTAACTCTATGCAAATCCTGGCATATCTTCCCCTCAAGGATGATGATGTGCATGCGTCCACTTTGAGGAGTCTACCTATGACACTGCCTATTTTTTGAAGCAGTTGTTCATCATAGAATTCTGTGGGAAGTTAAGGTAACCTTACCCAAACTGCTGAGTGTGCTTGGGTGGCCTCCGTTGCTACAAAATTTGGTTGCCACCTTTGGATTGATAGGAAGAAACCAAATACAAAATATGGCCTATTCTAGAGGATTGAGTTCATACTATCCTCTTTTTGTAGCTTGACAATGAAATAATCATTCCCTAAGTCTATGAAAGGGAAGTTTTCGTTTAATTTTCAGAGTTTTTGTGCTTTACGTTCGAGGATATGGTGTAGGATTCTTTTGCCTTGAAGTTTGATAATTAGGGAGAATCACAAAGGTTTGTTTATTCTTTGCCTATCCTCTGGTAAAATAGGGATAGTAATCGGGGTATTATCACCTTCTTCTGAAGAGGGGATATACATTTCTTGATCTTGAGCAACTATAGGTGGTGGGATGGGAGACGACAAGTCAGTGTCTATGTTAATGTGGTCCCTTTGTTCTAGGAGTTTTGCTTTAAATGAGGGCGGGGATATGGGAAATGGTATTGGACAAATTGTTGGGGTTACCAATTCATCAATCATTTCCATATTTGGGGAATTCAAACAGTCCGATGGTTTAGGTGGAATATGTTTCGATTCAAAATTAGGTGTTGGGATTTGCATTTGGAAAAATAACTATGGAAGTTAATGGGGGAATTGGAGAATTATTCTAGAGAGAAGGCAGAGCTTCTCTTGCTAGTCCGGTGGACATATGATTTTTATGACTCTCGTTGTTTCGCTTTAAATAACATTAGTGTTATTCTGTTTTTATTTTTTACTACAATGTTTTCATTTAGTATAAAATATTTTTACTTATAAAAAAGTTGTAATATACAATACTTTATATTTAATTTTTAGTATTCTAGACTATATTTATAAAATTAATTAATTAATGTTTGAGTAACAGGAGTATAACTTATACAGTAGGGGCTAACAGTACAAAAGTTCAATGGTATACACAAGCAATTACAGTCACACAAAAAGGAGGAGAACATGGAGAAAAATAAAGTAAAAGAAGAAAAAGCGAACACAAAGATAACTTATGTTGGCGAAACAAAAATGTCAAACTTTTGGTGCGTGGAACGAAAAAAAAAAAAAACTTTTGAGACGTGAAAACTTGTTAATATTTGAAAGGGACGTAGTAGATAATATTTTGCAATAATATTTGTATTTTTTTTTTGTTTCAAAGTTACACATGTGAATACTTTTTTTTCCACCTAAAGCTAACGGTAAAAAATATTTTGACATTAATCTAATAGAAATCAACTTAAACCTTATCATTCCGACTTAAATTTTGAATTTAATTTTAAAAGTTAGAACTTAAAGGAAGAATATATACAATTTAAATATAGTTAAGTGATAAAAATATATACATAAGAAACATATCTTGTATTTATTTATTTAGTGTAAATATTTGATAAAAAAAATTCAGGTATATAATCTATCTCTGAAACAAATGCTCCATTTAAATCATGTGGTCTCATGTTCTATTTCCAATGGAGACAAAAAATACTAAGTGATTCTTTCAAAGCCTTGGTGAATAAAGTTACTTGATATATGTTATTGGTGGGAGATAGCAGACATCTCGTAAAATTAATTGATGTGTGCGCAAGTTGACCTGGACTCTACAATTATCAACAAAAAAAAAAAGAATTGTCCTTCTTTCAAGATTTTTGACTACACTTTTCTTTGTAACTTTTGATTTCTAATATATCTGTTTGAAATTTTGAAATTTTACCACCAATGGATATGATGCAGCAGATGAAGCTATTCTTTCCTTAACCAGAAATTTCGGGTTCGAGCATTGGGTATGAAAAAATTCTTGGTAAGGAGCGCTTCCTCTAGAATGGGGCCCTAAGCGGTACGAATCCGAATATAGTCGGGCTCCAATGCGGATAAACGATGCTGGGTGGGGGAAAAAAAGGAAAAAGAAAATTTGAAACTTTACTTTTCCTTGCAAACTTTAAGCTACATAATTTATATTCAGGGAAAAACAATCAATCAAATACAAGTTAAAAGATAGAACTAGAAAAGGCAATGCAACATTAGACTCTTTAAATAAAAGAGTCAAATGACGTTGAGACAAAACTAACCATAGACTTTCCCATATATTGATCAAAAATCAATCAATTTGTTCACGTTCATTGTGTAGCTTGGAGCCGTAACTTGCAAGTTGCAACTAAGCTCTTATACCCGCCATTGATTTTCTCTATATTCATTTCTCTCTTCTTATATAAGTTACAAATAAATAGGAAAATCTCCGATATTTGTCCCGGTTCCTTTCAAATTCTTTATCAGGTAAAATCAAAATTCGATATTTTCCTTTAATTTTATGAGATTTGCTTTGTTTTTTAACCTTCAGTAAACGCTTAATTGCTCAAAGTTTGAAACTTTTAATTTTTGTTTTCATTTGATTTCATTGCATGTCAATTGGGTTATTGCCACAGTTCACGATTCCATGTGGTTTCATCTTTGCTCGTTCTTTTAAGAAGTAATTAGTGATATTGTTTAATAAATTTTGGTTTTTGTGTATACCCACTTTGTAATTAAGTGAAATTTGTGGGCTTACTGAAGTATGAGTAATTGATTAAAAAGATGGAATTTTTAGATGACTTACGGTTGGTCAAATGTTAGTATGAAATGAAATTTTTTGATGAAGATTTCAGTACGAGTGAATTGTAGAAGATTTAAAGGTAACAATAGTTGAGTGATTTATTGTTCATCAGCAGCTATGGGAGTTATTGACTGAGTTGAGATCTTCTTCACTTTATTTTATATGATTCATGTAAAGGAGGAAATGCCTAAATTCTGCACAATTGTTGGCTATATTTGACATGTAATTTTGAATATCAATTGATTTGGTTATCTGATGAAATAATGTCCTCCTTTCTAATTTCTCCAATTTTGAAGTAGCTGAGAGTAACTTGTTCCTTTTTCAAATAGTGCAATTTTTGAATATCTTGTAGACTTTTTACCTCCACAAAGAATACTATGAAGTAGATTTTTGGAGGATTATGCTCCCTAGTGGGATGCAATGAGAAGGAAAAAGCTAAGCAGAGAAATTTATTATTCTTACTTTATAAATCGGTAAGTCTTGTACAACTTTGTCTTCTTGGTCTTTTGTACCAATCTCTTTGGACAACAAATAATTCAATAGAGCCGAAGTATGTAGACAAGATTCTACCAGCAGTCTGACGTGTGACATATGTAATCAGTTAGCTGGTCAAATATTTTGAATTAGTGGTTCTTGATATATATGGTATCTGGTTGATGGATATTTTTTCAAAGTATCATTTCATTCTGATAGTAACCCTCTGGTGAATGTCCAGTATTTTTAGGTATCTCTCATTTGAACCAGAGATATTGGATTGTTGATAAGGATTCCGGGTGTAGAAGCCTCAACATCAGGAATGATGGCCACTTCTGAAGCAGTTCTTCAAGTTATAGGTGGTTCACAGCCTTGTCTTTTTGGATCTGATCATTCTTTTAGGAAATTTGGATCATCACATACCTGCAGATCCTTCATAAGATACAGAAAGAAGAGGGTTTCAAAATATGTGAATTTTCTCAACTGTTCAAACACATCATATCGTGCTATTAGGGTCGATCACTTTCTGAACACCAGACAACCTGTTCATGGGAATATTGCTCAGTCCTATTTAAGATCTGCGAACTGCAAATGCCAGCGAGCTGACAGTGTGAGTAGTACTGCATCGGAAAATGGAACTGGGACATGGTTTGTTGACAATGACCAGAGCTTCGATGCAGTTCATGGTAATACACCAAGTGTTCTGCAGTTTGAGACAGTAGAAGAGCTTAAAGTAGGAGAGGACTTTCAATCCAATGGGAGCTTACCTCCAAATGGCTCAGTGCAAGATGCCTTGAACAGAATAGCTGAAAACTCCATTGAGGATGAAGCGTGGGAACTACTACGGGAGTCTATGGTTTATTATTGTGGTAGCCCTGTAGGAACAATTGCTGCTCAGGACCCAACCAGTTCCAATGTCGGTGTTCTAAACTACGATCAGGTCTTTATCCGTGACTTTATACCTTCTGGTATAGCTTTTCTGCTGAAGGGAGAATATGAGATTGTTCGCAACTTCATCCTTCACACTCTTCAGTTGCAGGTAAAATGCTACTTAACTTGCACAAAAGTTATGTTTCGTGTGTGCAAAAAGATCATCTACCGATATTTTCTTTTATATAGTCATACATTTGCTTATTGCATTTTTCTTGCTTGTATCTCGTCATTTTGTTTCTTATCTCATTGAGCAATCTTGCTATGGATGTTCGTAGACAACAACAACAACAACAACGACCCAGTATAATCCCACAAGTGGGGTCTGGGGAGGGTAATATGTACGCAGACCTTACCCCTACCCCGAAGGGTAGAGAGGCTGTTTCCAGGAGACCCTCGGATGGATGTTCGTAGACAGCTGTGTAATTAAAGATGGTTGCAGGAATACCTTATAGTGATATGCGACCGCTTCTTATTTAGCTTATTCAGGGATAAATGCCTGGGGAAAATTCATGTTAATATCTGGAAATGTATGCTAGGATGCAACTCTTTTTTTGACTAATTCTGGAATGAATGGTTGGATACTGATTTTTCCTCTTAAAATGCTTGTTGAGATAATTGTAATGTGGATATACATTTATTATCTTGTATGTCTGCCAACATTTAGATCACTGTTTTTCACTTTCCACTATTATATGCCCCTCTCAACATTCTGATGGTTTTGCTTTTCTATTTCAAGGTAAAATAACAAATCCTTGGATTATTTTCTTGTGTTATACCTTCCTTTATGTAAAGGGTATGTTCAATATTAGTCTTCTTCTGATTTACCAAGGTAATAGTAATAGTGTAATTAAACTAAATGATGACTGCCTTATTTCCTTGTCGGCTGTTCTTTTACAAAGAGGCACTGAAAGAAAACCCCCTATGCTTTTCATCAATGGCGTGTTCATTTTTTTGCTTATCACACATCAGGGAGGAAATGCTGTTATCATCTAATTCCCTTATGGGTCATTTGCTTTGCGAACAAGTTATACAGGGAGTATAATGTGGGCATAATAACATGATTTATTTGGTGGATATTCTTTTCTTGGTCGAAGTTTGGTTCATTGGATTAAAAATGGAACATACTGGGTATGATATAAAACATGTGTTTGGTTTTACACTAGATAAACTTTTTTTTCAAATATTTACCTTTGCCTTAAAGGATTTAGGGAGAAGAGCTTTGGAGAATGACAACTTTCTCATTTGGTTGTTTTATCGCTGGATGATGTGATCTTGGGATTGGTATCATCAAATGTGGTATAAAAATAATACCAAAATTGTGGTATAAATAATCACAGGATTACTTGTACCAGAAGAACAAATTTCAAGTAATTACAGGATAAAATTATCCCATATTTTATCCAGGATTATTATCCTTATCACTGATACAACAACCCCTTAGTGGAACTAACAAACATTTCCTGTTATTGGTTGGCAGCACTTAATATGATTAAGATATGGATTAAAATTCTTTATTAGGAGGTTTATCATCTTCATGTCCCTTAATTGGGCTGAGATACCTCCTTTGTGACTAGCCGGAAGCACTTGAAATGCATATCACAAGACTCTTTCAGGCAACGTCAGTATTATTGGGTTATTAGGTGGCTGAACTGTGCCTCTGCAATGATTATCTGATCTAGTTGCAGATAGGTGTACAATAACCCTAGTGGTAAATGGTGATAAAGAAAGTTGGTGGTAATCTGGCAAATGGTGTTGCTCTTAGAAATTTTTCAGTTTTTGCTTCTTTTTTTTCAAAAAATGCGTCAGGGCATTCAAGGGTGTGATCTAGTGGTCATTGAAGTGGGAAAAGGCTATAGAGACCATAGTTCAAATCCTAGTGGAGATAAACACGCTAGGTGATTTCTTTCCATCTGCCTAAGTCTAGTGGGCAGCATTTCTTGGTACTTGTGTTAGTGGGAGATAGTAGGTACCTGATGGATTAGTCGAGGTGCGTGCATATTCGCCCAGATACCATCATTACTAAAAAAAGGTGTGGCAAGCATTCATTCGCAAGCATCGAGCGTGCATCTTTCCAATCTTTTTTTTTGGGGTGATATTTCTTTTAGTAAAATATACAACTCAACTTATAGGAGAGTAGATAAGCATAGTGGGCCCCAAACTCGGATAAATGAGGAGGGTTGTGGTAAGCTGACAGTCAGCATAAATTTATTTACTTATGATGAATACTTAACGTGATATTAAGGACGCCAACTAATTCAAGATTCAGTGCTAGTTGATTGATTGTATCAGAAAAATATGTTTGCAATGACTGATCATATTTTGGTAAAGGAATGGGCATTTTTTCCAGTAGCGTCTCTTATACGATTAGTTATAGCTCGGGAAGAAATAAATGATTTATCGTAAGTTACTTGTGCTTTCATCGGAATTTCAGAAGTAAACGTCTTCAACTACTGGAATTTTGTGAAGTCCACTTCCAATGTAAATTGTTGTTTCCTAGAAGTATGAAAAAATCACTCATACAGACCTCCTTCTCTTCTGCCCGCTCCTCGTTCACACAGTTCTCAAAACAGAGGAGGAAGGGTTGGCAGCAGCTATTTATCCTGCATGGAACAAGTCCTGATTTACCTTTAAACTGTAGTAAAAGATTGAAAACTGTGGGTTTAACCTGCTAAGTTGATTTTAATTTCAGTGAAAGATGTTTCGTAGGTTGTAAACCTGAACGTTCTCAATATACTCTGCTAATGTAACTAGCATTTCGTGCAGTCTAAAATTTCTCTTAGTGGAAGTGTTCAATCATACAACTAAGCTTTAGATCAAATGACAAGTGATTCTGATTTCAGAGTCATCTGTATTATCGATTATCTTGTTCAGATTTCAGGGGGAAAAAATTATAAAAATGACAACTGTGATATGACATTATTTTGCAGAGCTGGGAGAAAACTATGGATTGTCATAGTCCTGGTCAAGGGCTGATGCCCGCTAGTTTCAAAGTCCGGACAGTTCCATTGGATGGTGATGACTCTGCGACAGAAGAGGTACTGGATCCAGACTTTGGAGAGGCAGCAATTGGTCGCGTTGCCCCAGTTGATTCCGGTAGGAAAACGATCTCTCCAGAAAAAAAGAGTTTGTTTATTTGTGTTTTCTTTACCTTGTCATTCTTGTGCTTATAGAGACCTCTATTTACTGTAACTGTTAATCCCAGGACTATGGTGGATTATTTTGTTACGTGCATATGGGAAGAGCTCTGGTGATCTCTCAGTGCAGGAGAGGATTGATGTTCAGACTGGAATAAAAATGATACTAAGACTGTGTCTTGCTGATGGCTTTGATATGTTCCCAACATTGTTGGTGACTGATGGTTCATGCATGATAGATCGCCGTATGGGAATTCATGGTCACCCTTTGGAGATTCAGGTTTGATTTCTATAACTGTAATAAAAGAGCTGTTATGGCAGATTAGTCTTTAGATGGGACGGAAAAATAGTTGAACAAAAAGTGGCTGGTTTAGTCCTTTACTAGATTTGAGAATATTGATCAGTCACAAAATCTTTGGAGAATATTCTCCACCTCAGAGTAATTCCAAGTTTTCTTCTGCTGCACTATGCTACTGAGATTTTCTCCTGTTAAATACTCATGAAGCTACTCGCACTGGGGACTTGTGTGGGACCCGAACTGAGTGAAAATTGCGTGCGGTCCTTCTGTTTTCCTTAGTAGAGAATTAAACAAATGCAGGCAAATCAAAATTATGTATCTTCCAGAAGATTCTTGTGCTGTTGTTTATTCAATCTGAGGTCTAATAGATACGTTTTTTGTTGGTTACTTTTCGATGGGGTGTCAGAAATTTAGTGGACTCTACTGACTTTGGGATGGGAAAGAATGGATTTACAGCTTTAGTTCATCTGAATAGGAGTCCTTATTGATAGGTATATGTTTTAAAAATCATTATAGTTTAAATATTAGATCAGAAAATAAGAATTTCTTAAGTTCATTGTAGTTCCTTCATTTTCACGGAAGACTGTTATGATGCAACCCCATGAGTATCTGATTATGTCAATCAAATCCAAGGATTTTCCTTGAAGTGTTTGATGCAACCCTGGTTGAATGATTAATATGGTCAATAACGAGCATGTAGATTCTTCTGTGTATTCTGCATCCTCCTTCCTTTTCAGAATCATTTTTTTGTTATTGCATTCTTCCATATCTCTCAACTCATGTGTGATGATCTTCTATGAAATTAGAGGTATTTGTTCTTTATCTGAAAACGTAATCAACCTTAGCTTTTGTACTGTCAGATCCACCTTGGCTTTAGGCTATCTCAATTTGCTCCCTGCGAATGTTGTTTAAGATTACATTTTAATTTGTTGCAGGCGCTGTTTCATTCAGCACTGCTTTGTGCTCGGGAAATGCTTACGCCAGAGGATGGATCAGCTGACCTTATCCGAGCATTAAATAATCGTCTTGTTGCCTTATCATTTCATATTAGAGAATACTATTGGATTGATATGAAAAAGCTAAATGAGATTTACCGGTACAAGACGGAGGAGTACTCCTATGATGCAGTTAATAAGTTCAATATTTACCCAGATCAGATTTCTCCTTGGCTAGTTGAATGGATGCCTAACAAGGGTGGATATTTGATTGGAAATTTGCAACCTGCTCACATGGATTTTCGCTTCTTTTCTCTAGGAAACTTGTGGTCTATAGTCTGCAGTCTTACAACAGACGATCAGTCACATGCTATATTGGATCTCATTGAGGCGAAGTGGGCAGATCTGGTCGCTGATATGCCTTTTAAAATATGCTACCCTGCTCTTGAGGGTCAGGAGTGGCAGATTATTACAGGGTGTGATCCCAAGAACACGTAATTTTCTACCTCGGTTACGTTAAAAAGTTTACTTCTTTGTCTTCTATTGGCTCTTAATGCCTTAGTCTATTATCTTTCTTCATCTCACATTATCTTCTTGTTTGTGATGCAGGCCTTGGTCCTACCATAATGGAGGTGCGTGGCCAACTTTGCTTTGGCAGGTAACATTTGTTTCTGTCTTCAATTCCGAATTGGGTGCTTGTAGAATCTGATCTTGGGTTGGGAGAACATTTCATTTCTATTTTTTCTTTATCAAGAATCTTTCAAACATTCCCGATCCAATTTTTCGTTACAGTGCATGACGTTGCTAATTCAATCACTTATATTATAGCTTACATCTCTGTTTTGTGTTATGTCTCATTAGTTAATCGACAATTGCGTTACAAAGAATGACTTGCATTACTGTGCATTCTTAGTCTTGTTTTTATCGTGGGAATCTCATCATTCATCTTATTTCTTTTATCATGCTAGCATCTAATGAAGTTGCACAAGTTTGTTTCTAAGATGTAAAAAGATACTGCTGAATGTTTGAACTAATTTCACGGTGTTATATGATACTCTTTGTGTATGAAGTAGTATTGTCGAAGGTTTGCTCGTCTTCTCTCCAGTAATTGAATTAGTTTCTCTAAGCTATTATTATAGAATCAGCTGGGAGGAATCCGAAGTTCACGTAATATCTCTTGCAACTTTTGTAGCTGGCTGTTGCTTCTATTAAAATGAATAGACCCGAGATTGCTGCCAAAGCTGTTGAAGTTGCAGAGAAGCGCATATCACGAGACAAGTGGCCGGAATATTATGACACTAAAAAAGCAAGGTTCGTCGGGAAACAAGCTCGCCTTTTCCAGACTTGGTCAATAGCTGGATACCTCGTCGCCAAGCTTCTTCTTGCCAATCCAAGCGCTGCAAAGATCCTCATTACTCAAGAAGACTCTGAGCTTCTCAATGCCTTCTCTTGTGCTATCAGTTCTAATCCCAGAAGAAAGCGCGGTCCAAAAAGTTCCCAGAAGACCTACATAGTATGAGATCAAGTCAGTTCAAGATTATGATGAAAGCAACCCCTCAAATGCTTGGTTGTTACAGTTGTTGAATGTCTCATATTTGACATAGACATTCTTCTATGGGTAATGGCTATTCATTGAGCCAGTCAAAGTGTAAAATAGCTACAGATTATTGTTTTGCCTGGTCTTCACAAGCTGAAATTCTATTAAATATTTCAGCTTATTATATTCGTGTTCTTCTGTAAACAACATACTAACTACAGTCAATATTAAGAAGCTTTCAACCTAGGACGATAAAGCGTTGATACCTGAATTTGAAATGACTCAGTATGCATTATATCTCATAATTATCCATATGGAAGTTCCTAATTGTTTTTGCATAAATTTTGCTGTTGTACAGTAGGGAGAAGCCAGGTTGGGGTCCTTATTTTATAGATATGGTTTGTCATGCCTGGTTGTAATAGCACTAATCAGTCTCTCTACCTGACTTTTTCTACCAATTTCTGTGTGATACTGTAATACATAAGTTATTCCTTGTAGCACTGTACTTTTGTTGAATCTGCTGTGAAAGCATTGATATAAAAAACAAGATATTATGCCACAGAGCATGAATAGTGTGTAATAATACATTTTACTTATTAAGTGTAGGTCACTAGTCAAGGTTCTGAACAACAAAAGAATGGACCAAAGTAAGAGAAACCTGAATCTTTTTGAGCTATAAAATGTTACAACCCATATCCACACGCGTTAGTTCATATATTAGTTAACATAAATTCAAGAAGGAATTGTCTTTGAGATGATAAGAAGTTAATCCTATTGGTCTTAAGTGATACAAGGGTGTATAAGGGTGATTAGCAAGTATTAGAAGTTAAACGAATCAAGGATGTTGTAACTCGTATTTTTAGGTAAACCTAGAGGTTCTTAATACACTCAAGGTCATGTATTAAAGTGTTTGAATCATATAATATCCGTATCATAAGTCCTGAAGTCAAACGAGTTATGAAACAAAAGTCGACAAACGTTGTCGCAACTTAGGTTCATAATTTTACTTAAACATTAGGT